CCTGAAGAACAGGTTCCTCATCATCATTCATTGTTGCCACAGGCATAATAACAACAGGTGCTGGCACCACAGTATCTTGTACTGTCGGTGCAGCGACAGCATGTAGTGAGAAAAATGGCTCATGAATCATCGGAGTGGGTGCATACACCCGCTTCTCTTCAAGGTCAATTTCTCAAGCTACCATGCTCCCCCTCATCATTTCATCCTCTAGGAAGACAACGTGTCGTGTTTCCACAAACTTTGTATGTCTATCTAGATAGTAGAAACGAAAACCTTTTGAGTTTTCTGGGTAGCCAATAAAATGGCAACTTACTGTTTTAGGATCTAGCTTCCTAATGTTTGGGTTAAATACTTTAGCCTCAGCAGGACTCCCCCACACACATAAGTGGTTTAGTGAGGGTACTCTTCTTGTCCACAATTCATATGGTGTTTTGAGCACCAACTTACTTAGTACTCTATTGAGAATATGAATGGCGGTTTTTAACGCCTCCATCCACAGGCTCAACGGTAAGGTGGAGTAACTTATCATACTACGCACCATATCCATCAGGGTACGATTGCGTCTTTCAGCTACTCCATTCTGCTGAGGTTCGCCCGGTGTAGAATACTGGGCTACTATGCCACTCTCCTGTAAGAACCTTGCAAAAGGTCCAGGAACTTGGCCATATGGGGTATGCCGACCGTAGTACTCCCCCCACGGTCGAACCTGACTATCTTAATCTTTAAATTGTGTTGGTTTTCAACTTCTGCCTTAAATATCTTAAATTTATCCAATGCTTCTGTTCTTTCTTTGATTGGATAAATGTAGCCATAACGAGAGTAATCATCTATGAATGTTATGAATGAATCATAACCATCCACACTCTTTACAGGAAACGAACCACAGATGTATGTGAATAATCTATAGAATTCATGTGCTTCGTTTGGCATCTTTCTTAATTTTCTTTACATACTTTCCTTTAATGCATTCTCTGCATTGTTCTAAATCTGAGAGCTCTAATGGAGGAAGAATATCATTCTTAACTAGTCTTTCTATTCTTCCCCTCGAAATATGGCCTAAACGATAGTGCCATAATTTCGACAATGCATCATGAGCTCTCTTTCGTTTTCTGTTTACATCCGCAGACGAGGATACATTCACATTGTCGCATGCAACGTTCCCATCATCGCATACAACATTCACATCATCACGTAGTGATAACAGATAAAGCTCATTTTGTAAGATAGCAAGACCAACACATGCATTATTAAATGTTATCTTACATTTGCCATTTCCAAAATGGCAATCATATCCATCATTATCCAAGCATAAAACACTAATCAAGTTTCTCTGTAACGAGGGAACATAAAGAACATCTCTAAGTATAAGTTTGAAACCATCAGCAAGCTCTAGAGAAAGATCGTCAACGGCTTCAACTTCTGCTCGGACTCCATTTGCTACTTTAACGTGTCTTTCTCTTCTTTCTGTAGTCCTCGTCGATCGGAATCCCTATAAATAATTAGCAACATGAACAGTTGCACCTGAGTCAATCCACCAAGTAGATTTTGAATACTATACATACAGGGATTCATTCATGAACGTAATAATGTTCTCACATTTCTTTGCCATGATCATCTTTAAGTAATCGGGATAATTTTTCTTATAATGTCCCGTCTTCTTGCAATAGAGACATTGGTCTTTCTCTACTGTGAGCTGGTTCTGCTGAGGCTTATGCAGCATGGGACCCTTTCCCTTTGACTTTGAGGAGAAGTTAGCATTATTATTTTGTTTCTTGTTGTCTTTCAGATAATTGATAGTGCCACCATTGGCATCTTTCATTCTCTCCTCCTCGCACACATATAGCCATGAGCCTCTCTAAGTCCCACTTCTCGGGCTGTATGTTGTAGTTGACAACAAAAGTGTCAAACTCCTTTGGCAAGGAAGCAAAAATCAGATGGATAAGGAACTCATCTTTGAGAGCTAGATCTATTGGTTTTAGCTTGGATGCCAGATTGCTCATCCTTAGTATGTGCTCTCTTATGCCACTATTACCAGAGTACCTCTCTGTCACCAGCTGTTTTATCAGCTGGGTAGCATGTCTTTGAAGAGCCAATGAACTGACTCTTTATTCTGTCAAGGTACTCGGTGACGGTGTCACACTCTGGGATTAAGCCCACAATTACAGGTTCAATCGTATTCTTTATCACAGCCAAACATTTCTTGTTGGCAGTGACCCACTTCCTATGCTTAAGGTCATAGGACATCTTTTGGGATGCAAAATCAATTTCTCTTATTGCCCAAGCGGCATCAGCCTCGTTTGTCTCCCTCACCGGTGCCATAGGCTCAGTGGGACACGGTGAGGTGACTACTCAGTCCACCTCAGCTAAGATGAAGGTCAGGTCTATCTTTTTCTTCTACTCCGTGTAGTTATCACCTTTGAGAGTGGGGATCTCTTTGATACAACCCATCAAGTTGTATCCGCCTAAAAACACAATTCATATCAAGTGAGAACATAAAAAATAACAATAACAATTGCATGCCTTAGTTCCAACGTTGGTCAAAATTAAAACATACAATTGTCCTCTACACTAATTCTACATCATCGTTGGGCAGAAATAGAATTAATGCATGACAAAACTTATCATAATATTGTCATTAATCAACGTTGGTTAGAATAATAACAATATTATAATCAATTAAAACATATCCATTTTCAAAATTAAATTCTCCCATTGGTTCGAATTTAATAATGAAAATAACATCTTTAAATACGCAGCAGAAAATAATCTCAAATTAGTGAATTTTACCCACAGGAAAATTCTCTTTTCTATTTTCTTTAAGCCATTTTCTATTTTCCAGGGAATAAAACTTTTACTAGAAAAGAAAAAACAAAAAATGACTCAAAATGCGTCTTTTGTTCTTGACCGGCAAAGCAAGCAAAAACGGTCCACCACTGCTTTCTTGCATACACATGCTTCCAGGCCGCAACTTTGGGCTGGGCTGGCATTAAAGCATGAGACCACATACTTACTTGGGGCCGATCGCTGGCCCGATCAACTTGCACCGTTCGCGCCGATCCGACGGCCGTCCGCGCGCGTCGCATGAACAAAACGGCGACCGCAGCGGCTCCCTTCAAACCCTAGCTTCATTCGTCTCTGGCCTTTCTCTCTCTTCGCCTCTCTCCTCAGCGCAGCGACAGCAGCAACCGAGAGCGAGAGGACGACTCGGCGCCGTCGCCGGCCCCCTCGCCGGCGAGCGCGCTCCCCAGCGAGTGAGCACGCCGCCGTCGAGCGGCCTAGCTGTGGCGCCCCTTTGGCCAGAGCCCGGCGAGCAGCGCCCCCGGCTCGGCGTTCTTTTCCCCGCGCGCCGGCGAGGCAGGAGCGCTGCGCAGTGGCGAGGTAGGCCACCCTTCCCCTTCCTCCCCTTCGGTTTTGCTTCTCTTTTCTATTCTCGGATTCAACCGATTGGGGATAGTTAGGGTTAGGGTTTCTTTTCTTTTTAGGGTTTCACTATTTATCTTCCCCGTGATGTCTTCACGGCTTTAGGGTTCGGCTCTTACGTTCTTAAGACCGAAACCCTCTTCTTCTTCTCCTTTCCTTAACCCAGTTAGGGTTAGGGTTAGGGTTCAACCAAACCCTCTGTTCTTGTTAGACCCGCACTGGATCTAACCTTCTACTTCCTTTTATAATTGGTTTACCCGTTCTAGATCTAAAAACCCTAGAAATCGATGGCTCTGATACCATTGTTAGAAACTGGATCATACTAGGGGTTAGATCCGAGGGGCTACTTGTTGTTGAATAGTATCACGAAACCTAGAACATCTACTAGAGCAGGTATAACGAGAGAAAGGGAGAGGTAGAAGATGGATGTGTCAAACCTGACACCGCAGTGGAGGAAGATCCACTAGCGTCCGCCATGGAGTCGATATCTGCGCTAGGGCAGCGACGGGTGGTGAAGACGGCGTCGGTGATGCGCGGTGGCGACCGGCGGTGAAGGTAGTGGAGTCCGGTGGCGGCGCAGCTGGTGGCTTCCCGTCACTGGCTGCACACCCTTTAGATCGGATTAGGGTTTTGTCGGTGGAGAGCTCGGCTCAGTTCAACCTCGTGATAAGAGCCGCCGGCCCTCACCTCTTTTTATAGCGCAGTGTGATAGGGGTCCTCCAACCATGGTGGGCTGGGCGCCCCCGATCAGGGCGTGAATCAAAGGCCCAACTGGGCCGTTGGGTCCAGTTAGGATTAGAGATCAATCTAACAGTAACAAGTCATTACTCATCTGTATAATGTGGAACTAATGTCACTTTCCCATGTTTGGTGGAACTCTCTCTATAACAGTCGTCCATTTGGAATTTGATTATGGGTTCACCAAACACCATGGTATGGCCCAATGGGTCGCATTGTCTAGGACCCAACCATCCATGAATCGATGATGATCACACTTCAGGACTTGCATTATCTCAAGTTTACCCAACTCTTATATTTACGGTTTCAGAACCGAAAAACATTAGAGCATTTACATGTCTTTGTTAGATTTTTCTAGTTGTTTGGACTTATTTTTACAGGACAACCTCATTGATTTAGGTCAGCCTCTGCTTATTTTAATGATTATTACGTATAATTTATAGGTTCTATGTGTGCACACAAGAACGTTATCAAAACTAAGTATACAATGTATGAACAATTCAATTTTTCCCCTTGAAAAATTGGGGCGTTAATACAAAAAAAAGTAGTCCGGCCTTCTTGGACATTCTCTTTTCAGAAGTGTCCGGCCTTCTTGGCCGAAGATTACTGCATTCTGAATCTTCAGGCCTTGAGATACAGGAAGCCATGCACCACTTTTGCTGCTACAACCTCCAACTCTGACCGCACCTCCTCTTCTACCAAGGGGGCGAAGATGGCACGTAGAGCCAGCCTTCATCATTAGCACGCTACGCCGTCGATGAACCACCCTGTTTGTTCGCTCTGATCGCCGATAATGTCCAGTGCCATGTTCCATTAGGTTTAGAGCTACCATTCCTCAGTGCTCATTTCACAGAGCCTTTCAGCAGAGCGTCGGCAGACAGGTTACGCTGCATCTGAGCCTGCAGGCTGTACTGCTTTTGCAGGTCCCTAAGCCTGTCCAGGAGCTCTAGGAACGAAGGGCGTTTTTGTGGGTCGCTGCTCAAGTAAAGAATACACGCATTAGGGACTGCTAATCACACTGCTCATCAGAATGAAACTATGATTTTCTCAAAGATGATTTGGGCTTCTATGATCTTCAAACATGAACTCCACATATGCATTCAACTAGTCAATTGTTGCTTAGTAGGAAAAAGCAATATGCTTACCTATCCCAACAACTCTCAATCATCGATGCCCATTTAGGATCTGTATCGCTTGGAATGTCCAACCTCTCATCCATAAAACCAACAGCTCCGATAACCTGCAGCATGGGTGTGTCACAGAATTGATTGTATGAGCAGGGTGCAAGGATAGTACTCCACCGATGGCGATGAATGTTGGTCTAGCAGTCACACATAAAGGACAATGCACATAGAAATATAGAATCCAGTAGGGGCCTCGATCGACCCCTCCTGTTTCCTCAAAAAAAAAAAAACAATGCACATAGAAGCAAAGAGACCTACTTTAGTTACTTATTACTATTTGTACCTAGTTAGTTGTTCTTCTGAACAAAATTGTCTGCCTAGCTCGACCCGCTAGAGCAGAAAAAAGGCACCAAACAATATGATAGAAGTCCATGCATGCCTAACCAAAAGACTAAAAGACAAATGCACTGGGACAATTTACCTGCATTGTATTGAGATTATCCCAGGGTATCTTCTGGGTCACAAGTTCCCATAGAATAACCCCATAGCTGTACACGTCAGACCTATATTTACCAAGAACAAAAAGATCAGTATCTGCCAATCCTAAAACCGATTGGAGGCACACACAATGTCAACAATGTCTTTGTTGAACGTACTTTTCATCTGAAGGTTCATTACGTAACACCTCTGGGGCCATCCATTGTGGCTGCATAGAAAAGCTAATTATCAGATTTTGTAGATCAAAGTTCATGACATTATCAAGTAATTTTTTTTACTCACCGTTCCTTTTCCAGTTTTTGTTCGCAAAAACGTTTCGAGTTTTAGACGTGAAAGACCAAAATCTGCAACCTGATTGAACAACATAAATGAGAAAAGAAAGCATGGCGATTGGAGAACTTGAATTCAAGTGTTACCTTTACAGTCCAGTTCTTGTCAACCAACAAATTTGATGATTTTAGATCACGGTGAACAATAGGAGGGCTACAATGGTGAAGATAACTCATACCCCTTGCCTGCAAAAATAGAAACAGTGTGTTCTAAAACCAATAATGCTACATAAGCTCGTGTACAGCCAAGATATTACTTATATTTATACAAATTACCAAGCCATTTTTTGTATCAAGTGATTCAGAGTCCCAGAAAGAAACTGAGTGATGATGTGGTTCTACACCCAGACCACCAAAGTTCAAGTCCTCATCAGGCGAATTTGGGTTCTTAATATCGAGCTACCTAGTTCCTCGTAAGTTGCTCTAGTTTTTCTTATGTCACAGCAGAATCACTTAAATTGTGAATGTATTTTCAAAATCACGTAGCACTGCATTAAGTACAAGACTATATACCATGTTATACGTATTTTCATACACGGAAGCTAACTGATATGGCAAGTTTATGTGAAGTTTGACTTCTCTGATACATGCCTGTCAACAATTAATGACACTGTAATGCTTCTCTGTTTATTCATTATGCTTCTTGTCAGCACAATAAAAGAATGTTTATCCAGTTCTCTGCTAATTCACTGTGTTAATTACAAAAAAAATACTAGAATTTATTTGGCTTGCAATTTCCCAAAACTTTATGGAAAGATAAACAGCACTCACAATGTCTATAGCCATGTGAACTCTCCGTCTTGGATCCAGCTTGGCAGTGTTCTTTTGAAGTAAGCGGAACAAACTCCCCCTGCGACATGGAAACAGCAAAGTGTGGAATGGAGCAAGGGAACAATAAATGCTTTGCTCTTTTGTGCTTGTAAACAACTGTAGAAGATTATAAAAGCTGATATTTAATTGTAGTACCAAAAAATATTGCAATTGATGGGAAAGCTTGTTCAGTTAGTGCAAAAATGATGCAGGAATAATTTGACAATGAAGTGTTAGTGATCTAATACTGAAAACGACTGTTACTATTAACTTTCATTGAATTAGTAACTCCAACCAAACAACCATCTTCACGAAAGAACTACAAGTAACTGAAAAAATCTCATATCCCAGTTACTGAGTGGCTACTTAAACAACTGGGTAATAGACCTACAATTAGTGAATGTGGTAAGACCGTAAGAACAATAAAACAAACAGTTGATGGACCCAGATTTTTTTGTCAGTGCTAAATACTTTAAACAAGGATATCCTCATATCCCCAAAGATTACAATCAATATTACAAGCATTACACTTAGGTCTAGAGGCATTAGAATAATTGCAACATAAGCCAAGGGTCTTAAATTAGGTCAAGGTATATGGCCCATTGGTTTATAATTGGATAATGGATTTCTGCAGACTAATCCTATCAATAGACAAGGGACTACAACAATACAAGATGCACCATGTTAATTGGATGTGAAGGACATGGGAACTTCGGAAGTGTCAGATTGACAAAACCATTTCTGTCATCATTGGTAAATAATCTATGGTTTGGAATTTCCAATTCTTCAATATGAGATGTACATATTTGAAATTTCACACCTGAAAATATTAAACGGGACATATCCTTTGATTTCCAGCCCAGTTTAGAAAACCAGGTGTTTACTACTCAGATTTCACAACTTGACATAGGCCCCTTAACATTATAGTGACTCATATTGGTTAGTAGGGGTTGTTGTCAGCCAAGAAGGGTTTGATTCTCACCTTCTATATATTATTAATCCTAGGGTTGACATTTCTCCCCCTAGATGAGTTTTTTATAAAGCTATATAATAAATCAAACTGTATAGGTTAATCCATTATACCAACAGAATAGAAGTAACAATCACATAAGAATATGCAAATGGACAAATGGTCCTTTAGTCATAACTTGGTGTTCTGACAACTTTACTTGTAAGAGATTAAAACACACCGTGGAAGAAATTCTGTAATAATACAAAGTCGTTCTGGAGATGCAACTGCACCCATGAAGAGTATAATATTTGGATGACGTAGTTTCTTCATCAGTGATACCTGCACGTATGAAGGATATGGATTTAGAAAATTAACAACATAATGAATAGTATAGCCTATAGTCTACAGAAACACAATAAGCAAAAGATAACACTAAGAATTGTCAACAGTGTATTCCTTTTTGGGTTTTACAGAAAAAGCATACAAGAGCGAAAAGATTGTTTATGGTTTCTTTGGGTACATGAAAGTCCTACCAACATTTTCCCTTCAGAAGCTTACAAGTCATAATGGAAGCAAAATATTGCACATCTGACACAGATCAGTATAAGCATATAGAGAATATGAAATTTTTAAAAAATTCAAGATATGAGAGCAACAAAAAAGATCTCGCTACAAGATAAAAAAATACTTTATTTTAACTCCTGAAAGATGGCAAGATGGCAAGCAAAAACTTTAAAGCAGTTCAGTGAATTAAAGCCTATAACACCCTCTGATATGTAACACCTGTCGTCAACAATATAAAGTCACCAAAAATTCTTACCCATCCTGCAAAACTAGCAGGAGACTTCCTGGATGTGCATTCGATCAAGGAAAAATATATTAGAAAGTGGAAATATAAATGCCAAGCATATCCCACCCAGTTACCCAGTGATTATAGAACACCATCATGTTATGTCCTGAGTTGACACATAGACATAATTTCAGGATGGTTCAAATCTGTTCAGTTTGTGAATGCATCAGAGCAAAACAAATCTTGAGTTACTATAAAATTATGCTGAAAATGGCCTCAAGGAATTGTTCAGAAAGTTCTTGCTTTCTGCTTCTGCGACTTAGTAATCAACCTAACCTGTGTCTGTATGCTTCATTGTGTGTCCTCATCCACAGTGACCAACTAGTGCAAGAATGCTTTGCAGCATGACTCAATCCACTGACATAGAAGCATCATACTTGGATGAGCTAATTGCCAACATAGTGATATTACTACAACATGGTCCATGCCATGTGTTTGCATGTGTCAGTATTTTGTGTTGCTGAGTTGATTTATCCAATATTGATCTCCTCTCTTTATTCCCTCTTTGCTTATTTCTCCTTGTCCTTCCTATGTGGAAGTTAAAAATGGTTTGCCTAAACGTAAGTGTTGTAATGCACTAACAAGATGAGGAGCTACTTTGTATATCTAAATATCTCATGATATGCCTTATGTGAGTGCAGCAGTGGTTGGCTAACAATGGTCCAAGCATGCTGCAAAATGTTTTCAAAAAACTAAGTGTGTTGTGGAAAAAACTGATAAAGAGTGTGCGATGATGATTTGCATGTCAAGTAATGTGCCATTTTTCCATGGTATGTATCGTAATTTTAGTACTGAAGTATCTACATAGACAATTGCTATAGAATTGCTTCAAGAAAAAGAAGAAGAAAAAGGAAATCAAGTTCATATGCATGCAATATAGATTAATAAATGTCTACCTCTTGTCTGAAGGTATCTATCATTTCTTCTGAATATTCTTGCTTAGAGAATAGTTTAACTGCTACATCCTACAAAGAAATAATATAAGAATCTAAAATCAGTCACTAAGAATAAAAATTCATGCATATTCACACAGGTAAGGTTACATACCGAGCCATACCACTGAGCATGATACACTGTTCCGCAAGAACCTGCCAAACATGAATAGCATAAGCAAAATATATCTATTATAAAACAGAATGATAAGTAAACAAAAGATTTATTGTTACTAATAATGTCTGATTATATGCATGATCATACGGAGGAAAAATGACATCCCTGTCATGATATGCAAGACCTTAAAATGTAACATTATCATGATATGGGGTTCATGCCACCAATTCTATAGTGAAGCATGGAATTAATTAAAATGCTTTGAAGATTTCAGGAAACAGTGATATGGATTCATCCAAAGAAAAACACATAAACCAAAATTATTAAGAAACTGCAAAATTCATATCCAGGGGCTTAGGTGTCCCCATTAGCAAATTTAGCATGTTGCTTAAGTAAGGTCTGTGCATGCATAAATCTTTTGGAGCACGAGTAAGCAAGAGAAGTGTGTTTCTACATTTGCAGACAAATAGAAGCATTTGCAGAATGAGAAGCGAATACCTTGACCTACTTGTTCTCCAATTACTAGGTCTTCCCACAGAATCTCATAATCTAGGCAATCTGCTTCATGATCTACTCTCTCAATAGCACTGCTATCAGAACTTAAACTGCTGCCCAAACTATTGAAGCTATCATTGGTGAAAGACCACCAGTTACCCGTTACTTCATATTTGCTTTCCTGGGTGCTATCAGAATCTTGGTAGTCTGGAATTACAATTGACTCTGGACCAGCCAGATGTATCTGGTCATTGTCTTGCTTATCATGGAACTGCAATGGGTTCATGTGACCCTTGTCAGGACCATTCTGTTCGTGCCCTTTCCAAGGCCACGATATCCCCTTATTGGCCAATAATTCCTCTGCCTTTGAACTAATCTTGTAAAGCCTTTCATTTCCGTCCCCTGAGTCATCACTACTTGTTTTACTCGACTTCCCAGGGGAATGGTCTCCTTTAACAAAGCCATCATGCAGTACATCACCTCTAGGGGTGTTTGTTCCACTAGATGCCAGTTCTTCCTTGGAATCATCTTCAGAGTACTGATACTCAGAACCGCCACCATATTGTTCATTGCAGTTCTGACCTGTCTTCATCCGAGAACGAACTCTGTTTGTAACTTTGCTAGCCTGTGGTGTTATTCTAAAAAATCAAGAAAACAGTACACTAGGACATAAATTAAGAAGAAATGACACAAGAGAAACTTTCTACTGCAATTGAGTAGTAAAGCCTTTTTTGTCTCTTCAGAAGTACACGTACCAAAGTTGTTATCTTGGAGGCTAAAGAAGATTGGACAGGTTGCTCAGACTCAAAAGAACTTTTATTTAATAAATTGCATTTAGGCCGATTGTTGACTTGAAACCGGGGCCTCGCTGGATGTGTATAGGACCTCATTGAAGTTGAAGGGCCCATTATATCCTCTAATGTCTTCGTATCAACTGAGAGACAAATGAGACCCACCAAACTGCCATCATCATCATACAAAGGAGTATTATTGGCCACAATGAAGAACCGGTCTCCTGACTTCTTTTTAACAGGAAACTTCCCTCTCCAACATTTCCCCATAAATATATTTCTGATGATATTGTTTGCTGCCTCAGCATCATCAGGATGAACCAATAATTCAACAGCGTCTTGACCAACTGCTTCTGATGTAGAATAGCCATACATTTGTTCGGCATACCGGTTCCTAGATACAGATTGGAGTGTTTTGTAAAATAGGCAGTAGCAGTAGGGTTCAACAGTGAGGTAGTAAGTATAAGCAAAATTGCAGATTGCATTAACAATTTTACATGCTTCCTGAGCCAACTAAACAACAATCAGAATGAAATGTATGTTCAGTAATTGAATATATCAAGTAACACCATGAGTTCGGACCCAGATATGTACCAACACAACATAAACCAACATTTTCTCGCTACACATTCTGTTAGTCACATACCAAACATTCAAGCTGCGTTCCAAAAAATTGTACAATTGTGCATACAACCTTTTAATAAGTTTTAAAATGTATACTGAATAAATACTCATAAAGGCCACATGATATATCTTCACCATCGCCACCCAGGTTGACCAAATAAGCAGCATAGAACTTTGACTTAGGATATAAAACAGTCTATACAATTAGCTAATCAGCTGTAAGTGATGCATCAAATATCCTGACACTAATTATTTTGCGCAGATATTAAGCCAACTTTTCTGACTTATTCTACTTCCATGCACATGGTGAACTGAATATGGTCACATATAATAAAACACTGTTGCATGATCACTAGAAACCAGCTAAGAGACATAGCATCCATTCCAATATTAAACCATGTTTACTGCTGCAACAGGTTCCCTCCCACTAAAACTATAGTTTCCTGTAAATTACAAGGCTAACATTCGCAAAGTCAGTTACTTCTTACTCAAAGGCACGCAGCAGGAGTGGCTAAGGCGCTAAGCTACAAGCGACCAACCATCACTACAATGGTACCTCCACTAGAAAAAAGTGCAAATTGATCGAAATCGTTTTCCAGCCTTCAAGACAAAATAACGAATGCTTACTGTTCTCTAAGATTGGTTTGAGCCTCTGCATAACGCTTATCAGACATTTCACCGAACACTCCTAGTGCAGAGTACACAGACAACCAAATGCAAGGAACCTCACCAGTAAATGAGCTTCCCGCCGGGGGCAATGATATGCACGGCCTGGCCCAGCGCGTGCAGGGCCCTGATGTGCTGGCGGTCAGTGAGCCCGATGCGCCCACGCGCTGCAGCCGCGACGACAGGAACGGCGCCGCGGGGAGGGCGCGCCGCGGCGGGCGGCGCGAGGCGTGGTGCTGTTGCTGCTGCGCGCCCTGCTGCTCCTCCGGCACGAGCTTGGAAATCTCCCGCTTCAGCTCCGCCTGGCCCTCCTCCAGCTCCCGTATCTTCCGCAGCAGCTCCTCCGCCGCCATCACCGGCGGAGCGCCTGGTGCTATGTTATTGTATCAAATGGCAAAGCATCAGGGGCGTTCGCGTTCCCAGAGCTCGCCGCAAGGTGGCAGCAAAGTTGGCGCCTTTGGACAGGCTTCCGCGACCCGGTTGGCCGCAAGAAAGGCACCTTTTATCGATTTCTCGAAGAGTCCTCTGATCCAAGAAGCATAAAGCGGCGGCGTTTGTTGGCTTCCCGGCAATCCGGGGAGCCAATTTGGCTCAATCCTGCCTTCTGGAAGCTTCTGAACTGGAATTCAGAGCTCCTACACGCCTCCTAAGTCCTAACACAGAAAAGAATTCAGAAATGGGAGGAACCCGGCCAGCAGGAGCCAGAGGAGTTCTTGCTCCCCTGCTGCCGCTGCTGCTCTGTTCTTCCGGCTGCAGCCCTGTTGCCTGGAGATGCAGCAATGAGGATTGAGAAGGGAGGGAGAGGGAATCTGTGAATCCCAATCTCTCTTGGCTTTTGCTTTGGTTGTTCCTCTCGCCTGCCTCTGTTTCTGGACTCGCTTTCTCTTTATTCCCGCAGCCACAGCTTATTATTTATATGCTTTCTTTATCCTAATTGGAATTGGATGGTGGTGCCGGGGATGATCTCTACAGCGACGGCCCGTGTCCCTGTCGACCCAACTGTGGCAAGCTGCAAGTCTGCTCCATCGTCTCCGGAAAGCACCTTTGTTCCTTTATTAATCCCGGATCGTGTGGCCCTGCAATATTCCACAGTATACTACTCTGTAGTCTGGACTCTGGACGCATGTGTGTGTTGGAAGTTACTGTACTGAGTACCTGCTAGTGTTTTTTTTTTTTGAAGAAACAGGAGGGGCAAAAGCCCCCACTGGAGATTAAATTAAGTAAAAGCAAAACAAAGTACAGGTTACAGGAAGCAGAGCACAAGCTCAAGAAACAAAAAAAGAGAAGAAAAAGATAAACAACAAGACTATTAGAGCAAAGTGTTTTGCAGCCATGAAAGGAAGGGTATCTCAACTTTCTTTTTGATCCTGAGCTTTAAGTTGATCAACTCAGATCTTAAATTATTTCTAAACTTTTCTGGACTGGGTTGCATGCCTTTGAAAATTGAGTCATTTCTTTCTGACCAAATGCACCAGTTGACAAGAACAAAAAGGTCCATGAAAAAAGGCAAGTTTAACTGCAACTTGAACTCCTCAATTGCGAGGAAGATACTGCTCTCTTGAGAAGGCTGAAAGTGTAGAATGTTCCAGCATGCCAAGGAAAAGGGGCAGGATAGGAAGAGGTGCTCCAGTATTTCCTCTATATTTGCAAGACAGAGAATGCAATTGTAAGATTCTAAGTGCATATTTCGCCTTCTCAGTATATTTCTTGTGCTCAGCCAATCCTTGAGAAGCAACCAAAAGAAAACCTTGTGCTTTGGTTGGCATGATGTGTTCCATAGCCAATGAAAAGATGGGTGAATTTCTGAGTGTCCCGAAAGGCTTCTGTAAGCTCTTGAAGCACTAAATTGAGGTGATCCCCAGATGTAGCTCCATCGGTTCTTGGGAATGGTCCAGATCATCCAATATTGCTGAAAGTGGCCCCAACTGAGAGAAAGCCTCTTCAGAAAGGGGGAGAGAGAAAAGGCTAGTTATGTCTTGAGTGCTGAGAACCCTTTCCATAGAAATATTTTTGTTTTTTGCAAATGAGTGCAACTCTGGAAAATTGAGTTTTGGGATCATGTTATTCCAGAGATCATCCCAAGAAAGAATACTCTTCCCATCTGAAGCTGAGACTGCTGCCATACCTTTAAATTTATCTATAAGTTTTAGAATATCTCTCCACCAAAATGAGCCTCTCTTAGAATTGGATGGAACCCTGCCATTAGAGTAGTGAATCTCCCATACAAGATAAACCCATGGAATATCCTTTCTGTTATAGAGTTTATCAAGGTTCTTGAGCAATAGGGCATCATTTTGAGTACCTGCTAGTGTTGTCTAGTAGTACTACTCTACTTGGGGAAATGGGGAGTAAAGACTCTGGAGGACATCTAGTGCTTGTTAGCTTCTTCTTCAGAAACAACATTTTGATGTACCAAAAAAAGATAAACATTTTTCATTTATATTATTTTCAAAATAAATGGAAAATCTATGTTATTATATGGCTAATATTAAACAAACTGAAAAACCATTACACATGAGGACGGAGCGCTAGTTTTTATATGGCTAATATTTATACATCATCTATTTTATCTTTAAGTAAAAGATCTTACATGTTGTACTGAGGTCAAATTATTTTGGTCAAAGTTTTTGACTGTATGGATGGTAAAACTAACAGCATTTATTTCGAAACAGACAATAATGTCCGTTTTTCCCAATGCCCAAATGTCTTTGAGCACATGCACAACTAGTAAAACTTGTCCTATACCGAAACTTGTCCGGGGCGGGGACCGCGTCGTGATATTCCCACGGAAGATGTCAGTTTCGGTAGCACTGAGGTTTTTTTTTTCCAAATGCATGAAGGGTATCAATGTACTCCTTTGAACAAATATCTTTTTTTTTTAATTACACAATACAACGCTGACGGTCACTACACATGCAAATCATACACCTACGAGTACCTTCTAAAATTGGGTTGGTAAATCCTCAAGACGAGATTAACAGAGAGTCACCACGTATGTCTATCCTTTGTCGACGGAAACGTCGCTTACCACTTAAAAGCACAATAATGTTAAATTCTAGAATATTCTCGCTGAACTCAGGACCTGAGGCTCTCGTAGCCATTAGGCTATGGGTCCTTTCACCTGAATAAATATCTTTTGTGTTGTCCAAAACCAGATTTTCTTGACGAGGACTGCAGAGGCATTATTAAACTAACTCCTAATCAGCACATTTGAGTTTTGAAGATAAGAATAGAAACAAGCAAACATGTATTACTGATGAAGATAACACAAGACCAACCATGCATTTTGTAAACTGTGTTGAATAAGTAAGTTAAGGACCAATGCAAACGCTGTTGACGGCCACCAGAAGTCAGGGAAAAAAACGATAAAAAAGACGCATGTCGGCGAAGAAGGAAGGCCCAGAGGCGAAGCAAAGCAACAGCTTCGGTCATGCCTGACATATGCATGGTATAGTAACGCCGGCCGCGGCGGTGGTGGCATCATAATCGGCGCGGCATGGACCCGCCTTGCCGTTGCCGGCCTCGTGTCGCCGATATACAGTAGTAGTATGTTGCGTTGCATGCAGCATTGCGGCTGCAGGACCAGCTAGCAGTGCAACAACCTGTCGCTCGTCGGCGGCGTCTCGTTTCTGGACGGCCGCGGGGGTACCCTACCTTAGCTGCAAAACTGAGGCTCAATTTGAATAAAAGTATTTTTGGAATTTCAGTAAAATACTATGGCATTTCGAAATAAGTACTTTTGTCTTTAATGTGCCGAAAAGTGTTTATGCAACGAACTTACACACTGATTTCGTATAGCCAACTTGTAGCCTGTTCGGTTGGCTGGTTCATATCGTTGCTGGTTCGTAAAGAAGTGCTGCTAGCTGGTTTGTGTGAGAGAAAAATATTATTCCGGCTAGAAATTTACGATCGTTTACGACAAGCCACAGCCAAACGAACAGGTTGTTGATCCCTACTTCAGCTGGGATGTTTCACAACTATTTAAAGATAGAGGAGGGGGTGTAGGTTTCCTAGTTTCAACCAAATAGCTTATAACTTTTCTATACTCCCTCCGTCCTCACATAAAACAATTCCTAGAATCCGTGCAAGTCAAACTATCTTAAGTTTCACTAACATTATAGCAGAGAGCAACAACATTTATGACATAAAATGAGCATATTATGAAAATATATTCTATAATATATCAAATTATACTAATTTGATGTCATAAATCTTGATGCGTTTTTTCTAAAAATTTGGTCAATGTTTAAAATTTTTGACTTAAAACAACTCTAAGAATCTATTATTCAACGACAAAGGAAGTAACACATAACTGATGACAGCTTTCCACATCTCCTAGCTTACAACAAATTTTCCACAACTCACGGTAAACCAAATAGACCTTTAAAGTTGTAGGTGCTGAGATGGTAACAACATGCATACATCGATGATCCATGTTTATTTTCTTCACTCCAAAATTGTGTCAAATAAGTAAAATCTGTTCAATACTTTGTTGGAGTGGACTTAGGTTTGTCCTTCTCCACTTGCATTTATGACAATCAAAATGGAAGGCAGTATATCTACAGTACTATATATGGAGTGTCAAGTGTGGAGTGAGGACACAAGTCACGCAACCAAGCAACTTGCCCAACTAGTTGCCTTACATGAGAAGGACTCGTGCCTATCTTCCAACCCACTTGCTTGCAGACTTGCAGCATAAGCGTTTGACTGGCTCGTATCGATCACCAGCGCTCTGAATAAAATTATAAAAAAGGTGAAAGGAAAAATAACGTACTGGACTAGCACACGTTTTTTTTAATGAATTCTCAGAGAGGACGGTCCAGCTGTAGGCTACAATGCTGTATATAGACCACGCCGACAGCACGTCGTTGTATGTTCAACTCTTCTACCTTAATTAAAATGATGCGTAAATCTTTTGAGTATTCGAGAAAAAAAGAATTGTCAGATAGTTGAGAAAGAGGCCAGTTTTTCGTTTGCACCCTATATATCTAGCTAGCCCTTCTTTTAGTTGTTCTCCTGCTTTACATCCGAATATAATCAATCCTTAATTAATACTAAAGAGGCAAAATTTCTGGTCACTTTAGATTTTCGTCCAGCTTAATCTAGTCCTAATCGGAGTCTAATATTATACTTCAACCTATTTTTTCGTCAGGTCTAATATTATACTTGAACCTATTTTTTCGTCCGGACTATTCAATCGTCTGGCCCAACTACAAGCCCACGCCCCGCTCGCTTCCGCTCCTGTCTCCGTATCCGTATCCGTAACGCAAACCACCACCACTCCATCCTCCCCAAAAACACCACCGCCGCCCCTCGATTCGGAGAAATCTATGTTTATAGGTAGTCGAGGACA